GGCTTAAGCAAAATGAGGCCTTTTCTTGTATCTGTCACGCTCGTCTAAGGAGGAGGACCAATGCGCAGCGTTGAAGGTGAACATATTTATATTTATTAGAGTATGATCACACGATCAAAACAACAGACGAAAACGTGATGTCTACGGTTGAACACAAACCAAATAAGAACAAGAAACCACAAACAATGAATCCTTAACGGCTACCTAAGTATGACTCCCAATCAGAGACAACGAGCTACAGCCCTCTCTGATTGGGAGCCACCCTGGCCAACATAGAAATACAACGACTAGAACATAAACAAATGAACACCCTGGCTCAACATACGAGAGTCCCCAGAGCCAGGGCGTGACAGTATCAATACAATACAATATAAACAGAAATTAATGATACGTTAAGGCAGTTTTATTCCTAATTATATACGTCAGAGGCGGACCCTCAAAATGGGATATTGTCAGGCCACTAATTCTTGTTTCTATCAATAATGCATTAAAACGCTGTGAATTACATAGAGACCAAAACACCTCACTGATTATAGTTTTGTTAAAAAAGGGCAAATCTCCCCTAGACTGTAAAAGCTATTGGCCCGTAAGCCTTATTACAACAGTGCACAATCTGTTTGCAAAGGTACATGCCATCAGATTGGAACTGCTTGTAGGAAATCTAATTAGCGATGATCAAACTGGGTTTATAAAGGGTTGTTTAACCTCAGACAATATTAGATGTCTATTCCATATCATAAATGAGTCCGAAAACGACCTAGTCCCTGCTGCACTTTTTAGTTTGGATGCAGAAAAAGCCTTTGATAGGCTAGAATGGAACAATTTATGGTGTGTTTCGGAGTCCTTTGGTTTTGGTAAAGGATTTATCTCCATGTTAAAAACATTGTGTTCTGAATCCCAAGCAGTTGTGCAGACGGGAAACATTCTATCCAAGACTTTCTGTTTACAATGTTCCACAAAACAAGGATGTCCATTATCACCATCGCTCTTTGCCCAGTCTTTGGAGCCCCTTGCTCAAGCGATTAGATTGGACCAACTTATTTCACCCATCAATATTAAAGGTACTCAGCATAAAGTGTCACTCTATACTGATGACACCTTATTGTATTTCTCAGACATCTCAATTTCCCTTCCACAGATTCTGAAATTATTTACTATTTTCGGTTCATTCTCTGGATATAAAATAAACTGGGAAAAATATATACTGGTGCCCCTTAATAGCCCTGCGAAATTGCTTACTTTGCCTGCTGCATCTCCAGTGCAGTGGAATGAGGCAGACTTGATTTATTTGGGCATATGTATACCCACCAAATTTTCCCAAGTTTTCAGAGGGAACTATGTCAAACTAAAAGAGGAGATCACCTCTGATTTGCAGAGATGGTCCTCTCTTAAAATCTAATTACATGGTAGGATTGCTGTAGTAAAAATGAACGTAATCGGTCGACAACATTTTATTTTCTCTATGCTGCCTATACCTCCTTTGCCAAAATACTTTGAGGAATTAAAGTCAATGACCTCAACGTTTATTTGGAATGATAAAAAACCACGCATTCAATATGATACTCTTATGCGGTTAAAGGGAACAGGAGGTTTGTCTCATCCAGATTACAAATTATATTACTGATCTTTCCAAATAAAATCCTTGAGAGTATGGTCCGATGATTCTATTGCAGCTTCTTGGAGAGGCATAGCGGAAGCACTTGATGCACTGCATAGACTTACAGATCTAGTTTTTTCCAGTATCAAGGTTAAAACAGCATTCAAAAAATGTGGTTCAATTATTTCCAACTCACTACAGAGCTCCCGAGTGGCACAGCGGTCTAAGGCACTGCATCTCAGTGCTAGAGGCGTCACTACAGACTCTGGTTCGATTCCAGGCTGTATCACAATCCGCCGGTGATTGGGAGTCCCATAGGACTGCGCACAATTGGCCCAGCGTCAGCCGCGGTAGGCCGTCATTGTAAATAAGAATTTGTTCTTAACTGACTTGCCTGGTTAAATAAAAAGTATGGTACTACGCTGAGAAACATATAGCCAACACTAAGAAGTTATGTGAATCTTCTATATGGCATAACCTGCTGACAAACAATAAGCCTTTTGTGTGGGTGCATAAGGGTGTGCATACCTTGTGAGACATGTATAATGATAAGCGCTAATACTTTTCCAGGACCTCAAACAAATGTATTCACTTCCAGGCTTTTCATGGTTCCTTTACCTACAGTTAAGATCTTCGTTAAAAACGTATGGTGTACCATGGGATTCTCCGTTAACATCCCACATAATGCTTACATGGATAGACCCTTCATTAACTTCTAAAATGGTCTCTGCCACTTATGTTTGCCTACTGTCTGTTAAATACTCTACATTGGGTGTCACTCTAGTATGGAACCGCAAAATGCAGGGATTGGGGCACGACCTGAACTGGGATACTATTTGGGAAAATGTATTTGTTACCTCTAAAAACCCAGCACACTAGCTTATACCTTATAAGTTTTTACATAGAAATTATGCAACCCTCTTTAGACGTTTTAAGATTAAACTGATTCCTACTCCAATATGTGATAGATGCCGTATGAATGCTGTTGGAACACTAATGCACGTGTTTTGGGAATGTCCTGTTGTGTCCCAGTTCTGGTCACATGTTCCAGATTTCCTTACACAAATTATGGGTTTACCTGTGGACAAAGATCCACCTTTATTTTTGTTGAATGATGACTCTTCATTTGTACTGCAACTGGTTCAGAAAAGAATCATTTATGTGGGGTTAACAGCAGTAAAAACGGTTATTCTTAGTGCTTGGATTACCCCTACAATCCTCTCGCCTCAAACATGGTTATCATATTTTCAAGATATTGTTTGTATAGAGCGATCAGTCGCTGTGATAAACAAAGCTCGGGCAAATACAGTTGATGCATGGGATGTATTATGCAACATTCTATCAGATATCAACAACTCTTGACCAAGCAATGGACCTCCATGGTAAGGTAGTGGGGGGATGACATTTTCTTTTCTGAGAATAATATAGAATATTTTTTATTGTAAACTCTACTTCCTTTCTGTAAATGTCGTATTGTGCTCTCAAATAATTGACTCTTGGCAGTATGTAAATAGTTTTATTGTATGTTAGTGTTGTCATGTCGGCTAATATTTGTAACGTGATCCTGCCTTGTGTGTTTTATAATGTTGATAAAAAAATTAATTAATAGAAACGTCTCAGGGAAGCTCATTTGCGTGCTTGTCGTCCTCACCTGGGTCTTGAACTGACAGCAGTTCGGCGTTGTAACTGACTTCAGTGGGCAAATGTTCACCTTCTATGGCCACTGGCACACTGGAAAAGTGTGCTCTTCATGGATTAATACCGGTTTCAACTATACCAGGCAGATGGCAGACAGCGTATGGCGTCATGTGGGCGAGCGGTTTGCTGATATCAACGTTGTGAACAGTGTCCCATGGTGGCGGTGGGGTTATGGTATGGGGAGGCATAAGACAATAAACACAACTGCATTTTATCGATGGCAATTTGAATGCACAGAGATAGTGTGACCAGATCCTGAGGCCCATTGTCGTGCCATTCATCCTCCGCCATCACCTCATGTTTCAGCAAGATAATGCATGACCCCATGTTGCAAGGATCTGTACACAATTCCTGGAAGCTGAAAATGTCCCAGTTCTTCCATGGCCTGCATACTCACCAGACATGTCACCCATTGAGCATGTTTGGGATGCTCTGGATCGACGTGTACGACAGCGTTTTCCAGTTCCCGCTAATATCCAGCAACTTTGCACAGCCATTGAAGAGGAGTGGGACAACATCCCACAGGCCACAGTCAACAGACTGATCAACTCTATGTGAAGCGCAAATACATTTTTCTGGAGACTGGATGAAGTCAGCCTACATTTTTTGGTTTCAATTTGTTAAGACACTCCAGGACCGGACTTGTTCAGAGCAGATTGTGGATTAATACTTTTTTAAAACTTTCAATCTGTTAAATACTACATTTTTTCAAAGAAAATGTTATCTAGAAAATATTTTTTGCAACATATCAACAATCCCCTATGGGCAAGTCTGGCGAATATATCTAAGGATAACCACACAACATTTGGTGAATGCAGATGCTTCTGAAGCTGAGAAAAATGAGTTGGCATGTGGGAAGAGTCTGACTTTTGGGAAATGGCAGTTAAAGACAAGTACACTGAATTCAGATTGCCAAACACCTATTTAGACCCAATAATCATCTCTTTAAGGTAACTTACGAAATATAGTCCAGTTTGTAACACTCTCTATGAAATGGGTTTTTAAATTATGCATAATTTAATGTAGTGAGCTTTGAAATTATTGATGAATGTCAATTTTAAAGTGGATACAATTAATTTAAATGTTGATGACGGTAGTATGATAAACTAAAGAAAATATACATTTTCATCAACCTTTTTACATTTTATGTTTACTTTTTGAAAATACTAATATTAATGGACCAAACATCAACAAATGTCAAAATTGATAGGTAGATGCAAAAATGTCATTTCAGCCTGTTGAGCCTGGCTGTAAGGCATAAATATAAGTTGTAGATTACTTATAAGGTCATTAGGCCCTAGGGGCATCAGCTTAGGGAGGCCTACAGGGCTGACCTGGAGACCTCTGGGGAAGCAACTGGGGAAGCAGAAGCTGTAGCGTTTATAGGGGTCTCGGGATCCCACGGCAGCATACCAAAGATTGGTATTGACTCAGGGCTGACACTAGTGATTCTAGTATAAGTCCCCATTGTGCATGTGTGCCTATGCACGTAGAAAGAGCACATGCCAAGGGCAATGAAACCAAGGATCATGGTAGCATTCAAAATACTGTCAGGCATTGTCCACAAACGGGTGATGGACTAGTCTTTGGGCTTATAGTCAACGGGATTGATCACCAGGCTGTCATTAAGTAGAATAAGATCAACAACCATCTGTCCCTCATAAAGAATTTGGTATTGAATGGTAGGTTCTAATTCAAGAGTGCGCTACAAAAAGGCATCAGGAATTTCGATCTCAGTGTCTTGGAGAGTCTTTCCCACATGTTGCAACCTAAGTGACTGGGCCTTCATCTGTTGTTGGATTAGGGGCATCTCATCTGTTAGTTTTCTAACATTCTTTTTGACAGTGGCCAGACTGACTGTTTTGACGGCGGTGGTACCTAAAGAGAGTAGTGATCCTACCGCTGCCCCCATTGAGGCTCCAATGAATCGCGTCTGCCGTCTGTGCTCTGCTAATTCTGGTGAATTTTTGGAGTTGGGCCAACATGTGAGCTGTGTCTAGCAGGGCGTGCCAAAAGGAGAAATCCACCCCAAACCACTCATTCCTTTAATTTACAGTGCCAAATAACACTAACATGTGAGAACAATATTTTTTTACAATTTTAGCATTATAATAATATATGAAAAAATGTGGAAATCTGTTGCAGCTCAAGTCGACTACAAAATCCACAATGCAATGCTCTCTCTATGGGCTGGCTGGATAGCTAGCTAGCTAGCTAGCAAGCAAACGTAGCTATACACAATAATACCAAAGACAATATCAGCATGTAAGTAGCTAGTTGACTGTAAAATCTTCTAAACAAACTGCACCATCAAATTAGGAGTACAATCTCAACATGTTCAACCGGCAGATCGATGTGCCTCACAGAGGGTCTGATATTCACAATGGCAGATATACTTTTAATGAGATGGGAAACGTTGCCCATGCTACGTCAATGGGCCGCACAGTGCATTCTGGGCGATTCTGGGACAAGGAGAGCGCCCCTTCAAGGAGTGAATGGGAGTCTATTGGGCGCTAGCTCAAAAACCCAACATTAGCACAGATTTCGTCAACAAGAAGTACAACATTATAAATATTTTCAGAGATGTGAGAAAATCAACTTGCTCTCTGTAATATCGTATAGCTTTGGAATTGTGACATTACGTACTTTCAAGGAAAATAGGCACGTTTCTCGACATATACACTGACGTTGGTAGCCATGAAGTGCTTTGAAAGTCATGGCTCACATCAACACCATCATCCCGGAAACCCTAGACCCACTCCAATTCGCATACCGCCCCAACAGATCCACAGATGACGCAATCCCAATCGCACTCCACACTGCCCTTTTCCACCTGGATTAAAGGAACACCTATGTGAGAAAGCTGTTTATTGACTACAGCTCAGCATTCAACACCATAGTGCCCACAAAGCTCAACACTAAGCTAAGGACCCTGGGACTAAACACCTCCCTCTGCAACTGGATCCTGGACTTCCTGACGGGCCACCCCAAGGTGGTAAGGGTAGGCAACAACACATCTGTCACGCGGATCCTCAACACGGGGGCCACTCAGGGGTGCGTGCTTAGTCCCCTCCTGTACTCCCTGTTCACCCACGACTGCGTGGCCAAGCACGACTCCAACACCATCATTAAGTCTGCTGACAACACAACGGTGGTAGGCCTGATCACCGACAACGATGAGACAGCCTATAGGGATGAGGTCAGGGACCTGGCAGTGTGGTGCCAGGACAACAACCTCTCCCTCAACGTGAGCAAAACAAAGGAGATGATCGTGGACTACAGGAAAAGGAGGGCCGAACACACCCACATTCACATCAACGGGGCTGTAGTGGAGCGGGTCGAGAGTTTCAAGTTCCTTGGTGTCCACATCACCAACAAACTATCATGGTCCAAACACACCAAGAAAGTCATGAAGAGGGCACGACAACACCTTTTCCCCCTCAGGAGACTGAAAAGATTTGGCATGGGTCCCCAGATCCTCAAAATGTTATACAGCTGCACCATCAAGAGCATCCTGACCGGTTGCATCACCGCCTGGTATTGCAACTGCTCGGCATCTGACCGTAAGGTGCTACAGAGGGTAATGCATACAGCCCAGTACATCCAGGACCTATATACTAGGCGGTGTCAGAGGGAGGCCCAAAAAATTGTCAAAGACTCCAGTCACCCAAGTCATAGACTGTTCTCTCTGCCAAGTCTAGGTCCAAAAGGCTCCTTAACAGCTTCCACCCCCAAGCCATAGGACTGCTGGACTATTTACATTTTTACACTGCTGCTACTCAGTGTTTATTATCTATGCATAGTCACTTTACCCCTACCTACATGTACAAATTACCTCGACTAACCTGTACCCCCGCACATTGACTCGGTACCGGTACCCCCTGTATATAGCCTTGTTATTGTTATTTTATTGTGTTACTTTTTATTTTATTTTTTACTTTATTTTATTTAGTAAATATTTTCTGAACTCTATTTCTTGAACTGCATTGTTGGTTAAGGGCTTGTAAGTAAGCATTTCACTGTAAGGTCTACACCTGTTGTTTTCGGCGCATGTGACAAATATATTTTGATATGATTTGATTTGATTCCTATTAACTTCCAGTGTATTGAGAGCGACTGTATCACAGTGCTACGTCATACTGGACGGATTTCTGCCTGCTTGAATGCCAATAACTCAGATACACATGAAAACATGAAGTGAAACAGGGAATCGATAGAACATCACTTAGAGATGCACAAAAACAATATAACATTCAAAATGGGTGAACCTTTAACTGCCTGGCCAGTCCAATCAGTCCCGACTCAACTCAGGTGTGCACTGCGGGGAATGTGTTTGCCTTACACATTCTCAGCGTCTAGGCGGACGTATAGTTGGTGATTAGTAGTGCTGGATCGTCGCGCAGGAAGATATCCACTGGGGGTCCGCTTGTTAGTACGTATGGTTGGTTGGATTCAACAAGGACACAGAGTGCCAGGATCAGCCTAAGGAATCGCATGCTAATCTGGATTAAACTCCAGGGATAAGATACACTCTTGCGTTGTAAGGGTGCTCTGGGAAGCGGTTTGGAAGGTTGGAACTGGCAACAGATTAAGCATCCCCTTACGTACTGCACCACATCCTGTCCATATGCGGCCAGTGGGCCACTTGTCGCAAGGCTTTATACGTAGCCTTGACCCCCCTGATGGGATATTATTATTCTGTACAGGCTTCCTTCTTTTCACTCTGTCATTTAGGTTAGTATTGTGGAGTAACTACAATGTTACTGATCCATCCTCAGTTTTCTCCAATAACAGCCATTAAACTCTGTAACTGTTTTACCATTGGCCTCATGGTGAAATCCCTGAGTGGTTTCCCTCCTCTCCGGCAACTGGTGAAGTTATGAATTACACTTTGGATGGTGTATCAATACACCCAGTCACGACAAAGATACAGGATGCAAAGTGTAATTAATAACTTCACCATGCTCAAAGGGATATTCAATGTCTGTTTTTGCCCCATCTACAAATAGGTGCCCTTCTTTGCGAGGCATTGGAAAATCTCCCTGGTCTTTGTGGTTGAATCTGTGTTTGAAATTCACTGCTCGACTGAGGGACCTTACAGATAATTGTCTGTGTGGGGTACGGAGATGAGTTAGCTATTCAGAAATCATGTTAAACACTATTATTGCACAAAGAGTGAGTCCATGCAACTTATTATGTGACTTGTTAAGCAAATTTTGACTCATGAACTTATTATTTATATTAATATTAATATTAATTAATATATTAATATTATTATCATATATATTTAGGCTTGAATACTCATTGACTCAAGACATTTCAACTTTTCATTTGTAATTCATTTGTAAACATTTCTACAAACATAATACCACTTTAACATTATCGGGTATTGTGTGTAGGCCAGTGACACAAAATCTCAGTTGAATCCATTTTAAATTCAGGCTGTAACACAACAAAATTTGGAAGAAGTCAAGGGGTGTGAATACTTTCTGAAAGCCCTGTATGCTGTTAGAATTTTGATATAACAAACAGAATTAGTGTCATAAGCAGTTTTAAGAGGAACAAAAATATTATGCCACGCCCCTCATTCATCGCCACTTTCAGTGATTTTAAATTCTTACAGAGTCATATTCAGGTAAGACATTTTGATTCCTATATGGTATCAGAAACAGAAAATTTGGAGGTTTCCAAAACACTTACCTTTGTCAAGTAACTCTCAAAATTGAAGAAATGAACTCTATTTCAAAATATAACTTTATCCAAGAATAACCACTGTTCCATGCCCTCCACATGTGACGCAGCAGATAGCCTACAGTAACATAAAATAATAAAAATGCTATTGTGTTTTTTGAATATTCTTTTTTTTACCCAAGACCTTTAGAAACAAGCAAAATATTTTTTTTCTGATAGCATATATGAAATGTATTATTAGACTGTTGCTCCTCTTGCTCCTCTGCTTTCACCCCCCCCCCTCTCCCCCTCTCTCAAGCCACCCCCCTTTCTCTCTCTCTCTCCATCTCTCTCCTATCTTCCCCTCCCCTCTCTCCCTCTCTCTCTAGGAAGCCAGTAGATGTGTATGTGAGGAGACAGTTGTCCCTCTAGGCAGTTGGATCTCTGTCCTTGCTGCTGATATGGTGAGGCCATTCATCAGAAAATACACACACGCACATGCACACACACAAACACAAACACAGACTTCTCTCTCAAGCGCGTTTCCCGCACCCTTGCTTCTGCCTCTTAAGCCCCGCTCCCTTGCTTCCTGCTGTTTAACTGAGACATCCCTCCCTCCCATCACCCTAGTCTCCCCACCTTTGACAACTTTCATCCAATTTATCCTAACTCTTTCTTTGTCCCTTTGAAATCCCCAATCACAGAGAGAACAGAAGGATGAAAAGCGAGAAAAGAAAAGTACACTCACATGTACCAGTTGTGCTTCTGAATCTGCTCTAACTGTAGGAGAGAAAGAAAGGAGAAATGTAAACACACAAGACACAAAAACACCTGCTTCAAGCCATTTACACATATACAAGTCTGGTCATGTTAATCAGGGCACACGGTAGCAAAATGATTTAAAAAACTAAAATGTGCATTTCTTATTGGACAAGTAGCTCCCTGTTTCAGACTGTTGCCTAAAAAACACTACCCATTTCATGAGTCATAATCAAACACAAAATGATAGATTTTCAAAGACAATGCAATATTGATATTAAATCAATATTAAATTGCTTCCTCCAGTACATAAGAACTCAATAGGCCAATAGTCACCACAGCAATAATAATACACAGTAATACAATATGGGAAATGGCAGGTCTCTTGATCTATCCCAGCCCTACAGCTATGAGAGAGAGAGAGAGAGAGAGAGAGAGAGAGAGAGAGAGAGAGAGAGAGAGAGAGAGAGAGAGAGAGGAGAGAGAGAGAGAGAGAGAGAGAGAGAGAGAGAGAGAGAGAGAGAGAGAGAGAGAGAGAGAGAGAGAGAGAGAGCTGCTCTAACCCTGCCAAGCCCTTTGGCTCAAAGGGGGTCTCTATCTTTCTTTCTCTATTTCTCTCTCTGCGCTGGTGAGCAGTGCCATGAGTTGGCCTCTGCCCAGTGCCCCGTGGGCAGAAAGGCTACAGCTCATTGTCTGAAAGTCCCATGACAAAGAGATAAACAGAGAAGAAAACAATAAAACGAAAAGACAACCCAAAGAATCAACCCAAGGTGTGACCTGTGCAGTAGAATATGAATGTCATTGTCAATTTGAATAGCTTTTTTGTCTGATTCTCTGTTATAGCAACTGCTGCTGCCATAGACTTAGAAGGGGACATAGTTCAATATAGCAACTTGCTATACTAAGGTTTCAGATCAAGGAACCTATGAAGTAATCTCTCAAGGAACGTGTTGCTTTCCCTCACACAGTGATCAAATCCAAAGAGCGAACTAGAGAAAGAGTGTCTCAATGTTGAAGCACAAAAACAATCCCCTGAGAGGTAAATTGACAATGTCTTTTTTATTGCCCCTCTGGAATTATAGTCTTCTTGCATTTAATTCAAATGAATTGAATTGAATGTTGACAAACACAGGGACAGTTTGACACAGAGACAGTCAGTAAGTATGACAGCTTCCATAGAGAGAGAGGTGATAGCTTCCCATTAATATTATTGACACCAGGCACTCCAACTGACTGACTGACTGGTTGCTGTTAAGACAGTGGCTCACCTATCTCTCTCACTGGGTTATTAAAGGGCTGGAGGTGACAGACCAACACACACATGAACATACACATACAGTTGAAGTCGGAAGTTTACATACACCTTAGCCAAATACATTTGAACTCAGTTTTTCACAATTCCTGACATTTCATCCTAGTAAAAATTCCCTGTCTTAGGTCAGTTAGGATCACCACTATTTTAAGAATGTGAAATGTCAGAATAATAGTAGAGAAAATGATTTATTTCAGCTTTTATTTCTTTCATCACATTCCCAGTGGGTCAGAAGTGTACATACACTCAATTAGTATTTGGTAGCATTGCCTTTAAATTGTTTAACTTGGGTCAAACGTTTCGGGTAGCCTTCCACAAGCTTCCCACAATAAGTTGGATGAATTTTGGCCCATTCCTCCTGACAGAGCTGGTGTAACTGAGTCAGGTTTGTAGGCCTCCTTGCTCGCACACATTTTCTATAGGATTGAGGTCAGGGCTTTGTGATGGCCACTCAAATACCTTGACTTTGTTGTCCTTAAGCCATTTTGCCACAACTTTGGAAGTATGCTTGGGGTCATTGTCCATTTGGAAGACCCATCTGCAACCAAGCTTTAACTTCCTGACTGATGTCTTGAGATGTTGCTTCAATATATCCACATAATTTTCCTTTCTCATGATGCCATCTATTTTGTGAGGCGCACCAGTCCCTCCTGCAGCAAAGCACCCCCACAGCATGATGCTGCCACCCCTGTGCTTCACGGTTGGGATGGTGTTCTTCGGCTTGCAAGCGACCCCCTTTCCTCCAAACATAACGATGGTCATTATGGCCAAACAGTTCTATTTTTGTTTAATCAGATCAGAGGACATTTATCCAAAAAGTACAATATTTGTCCCCATGTGCAGTTGCAAACCATAGTCTGGCTATTTTATGGCTGTTTTGGAGCAGTGGTTTCTTCCTTGCTGAGCGGCCTTTCAGGTAATGTCGATATAGGACTCATTTTACTGTGGATATAGATACTTTTGTACCTGTTTCCTCCAGCATCTTCACAAGGTCCTTTGCTGTTGTTCTGGGATTGATTTGCACTTTTCGCACCAAAGTACGTTCATCTCTAGGAGACAGAACGCATCTCCTTCCTGAGCATTATGACGGCTGCGTGGTCCCATGGTGTTTATACTTGCATACTATTGTTTGTACAGATGAACGTGGTACCTGCAGGCATTTGGAAATTGCTCCCAAGGATGAACCAGACTTGTGGTGGTCTACAATTTTTTTGCTGAGGTCTTGGCTGATTTCTTTTGATTTTCCCATGATGTCAAGCAAAGAGGCACTGTGTTTGAAGGTAGGCCTTGAAATACATCCACAGGTACACCTCCAATTGACTCAAATTATGTCAATTAGCCTATCAGAAGCTTCTAAAGCCATGACATCATTTTCTGGAATTTTCCAAGCTTTTTAAAGGCACAGTTAACTTAGTGTATGTAAACTTCTGACCCAATGGAATTGTGATACAGTGAATTATAAGTGAAATAATCTGTCTGTAAACAATTGTTGGAAAAGTTACTTGTGTGATGCACAAAGTAGATGTCCTAACCGACTTGCCAAAACGATAGTTTGTTAACAAGAAATTTGTGGAGTGGTTGAAAAACAAGTTTTAATGACTCCAA